ATAACAGAAAAAATATTTGGTATATAAAGTGAAAACTAAGGGCTGGGGATGTGGCTCAAGTGGTAGCGCGCTCGCCTGGCATGCACGCGGCCCGGGTTGGATCCTCAGCACCACATACAAACAAAGATGTTGTGTCCGCCGAAAACTAAAAAATAAATATTAAAATTCTCTCTCTCTCTCTCTCTCAAAAAAATAAAATAAAATAAAATGTTAAAAAAAAAAAGTGAAAACTAAATTCAGAATATAAAACTTTCAATACAATTATGGGTGCTATTTTAAGTTTATACTCATATAAGAAGGTTTGAAAAGAAATATGGAAAAATGAGAATAGATAATATTTTAAAAGTAATGTGAGGGTTGTGGCTCAGTGGTGGTAGATTATTTGCCTAGCACATGAGAGGATTCAATTATCAGAACCACATAAAATAAATAAAGGTATTGTGTCCATCTACAACTAAAAACAAAAAAATAATGTGAGAGCCAGGCATAGCGGCACACACCTATAATCCCAGCAGTTCAGGAGGCTGAGGCAGGAAGAGCACAAGCTCAAAGCCAGCCTCAGCAATTTATCAAGGCCCTAAATTAGTAAGACCATGTCTCAAAAAAAAAAAAAAAAAAAGGGCTGGGGATGTGGCTCAGTGAGTAAGCACCATGCGTTCAATACCTGGTATCAGAGAGAGAGAGAGAGAGAACATCACCATTGATCCTAGAGAAATCAAAAGGATTTTAAGAGAGCACTTTGAAAAACTCCAGACAATGTAGATAATAAAATGGATAGACTCCTAAAAAGATACAAAGTATCAAAATTAATTCCAGAATAGAACAGACGAAGCCATCCTACAGAGCTAAACACAAAGGAAAGCTCAGGCCCAAATGGTCACACTAGAGAATTCACCCAGATCTTTAAAGAAATAATAATAAACCTTCACAAACTCTTCCAAAAATTAATAGAAGAGGAACACTGCACAAATCATTATTGAAGACCAGAATTACCCTGATGGGCAGCACGAGAAAATAAAAGTACTGACCATATCCCTCATGAATAGAAATGCCAAAATCCTGGACAAAATACCAGCAAATTGAACACTGCAACAATAAAAACAATTATATAACGTGACCAAGTTGGATTTATTCCAGGAATGCAAGGCTGATTTGACAAATGAAAACCAATTGATATATTAATAGAATAAAAGAACACAATCATCTCATTTGATATAGAAAAAGCATGTGACAACATCCAAAACCCATTTACAAACAGACACTCTCAACAAACTAGAAATAGCAGGGAACTTCTTCAACCAAATAAAGGCTATCTACAAAAACCTGCAATAATACCATATATAATAGCAAAGAGATTAGAAAGATGGCGAAGACAATCAACTGTCACTACCTGTAGTCAACACCATATCAGACAGGCAAGGAAAAGAAATAAAAGACATCATATTGGAAGAGAAAAAACAAAACTGGTTTTATTCCTAGATGGCATAATATTGATGTAGAATATTCTAAGGAATTCACATAAAAACCTACTAGAAACAAAAAATAAGTTCAACAATGTTACAGCATACAAAATCAATGTATAAAATGTACTGCATTTCTACATACTGGTAATGAACAATCAAAAATATCAAATTAAGAAAATAATTCCAGGGCTGGGGTTGTAGCTCAGTGGTACAGTGCTCGCCGCGCACATGGAAGGCCCTGGATTCAATCCTCAGCACCATATAAAAATAAAACAGAGGTATTATGTCCATCTACAATTAAAAAAAAATATTTAAAAAAAAAAAAGAAAATAATTCCACTTATAATACATCAAAAAGAATAAAATATTCACAAAAAAAGAGTAAAATACTTGGGAATAAATTTAACAAAATAAGTGTGAAATTAACTTATACATTAAAAACTCAAAACATTATTGAAATAAATTTAAAATGTAAATAAATAGAAAGATATGGAAGTTAACTAACTGGAAGACCTAATGTTTTTAAGGTAGAAATTATCCTTCAAACTGATTTATATATTGAATCTAATAGAGATTATTAGCAACCTAGCAAGACCCAAAGTCCCAGCTGGTTTTTTACAGATGTTGATTAACAAACTGATCTTAAAATTATGCAAAAGATCCAAAAAAAAACAAAACAAAATAATCTTAAAAAAAAAAAAAAAAAGAATAAAGCTAAAGGACTAATACGTTCTCTGTTTTATTTTTCACTAGTACTAGGGATTGAATCCAGGGCCTTGTGCTTAGTAGGCAAGTATTCTACCACAGAGCTACATAATAGTCCACGGATTTACACTTTTTTTTTTTTTTGGTAGTGTTGGGAATTGTACCCAGGGCCTTATGCATGCAAGGCAAGCACTTTACCAACTGAGATATATCCCCAGTCTAGATTTACACTGAACTCAAGGGCACTTGACCACTGAGCCACATCCCCAGCCCTATTTTTGTATTTTTATTTTTATTTCACTAGTTGCTTAGCATCTTGCTTTTGCTGAGGCTGGCTTAGAACTTGCGATTCTCCTGTCTCATCCTCCCAAGCTGCTGGGACTACAGGCGTGCACCACAGTGCTGGCCGGATTTATATTTCTTAATCTTAAAACTTAAACCACAACACTACCAAGAAAGTGTGGTCCTGGCATAAAAATAGACAAATAAGTCAATGAAATCAAACTGAGACTCCAGACATAAAATGCCTCATCAATAGTCAACTGATACACAACATGAGGGCCAATGCAATTCAAATGAGGTTAAAAATAGTCTGTTCAGGGCCAGGGATTGTGGCTCAGTGGTAGAGTATTTGCTGAGCATGAGTGAGGCACTGGGTCCAATCCAGCACCACATAAAAATTAAAAAAAAAAAAAAAAAATGTTCAAGAAATGGCACTGGGACAGTGAAATATAATTTTAGCTCTTATACATAGGTCTATAAGTTTGAGTTAATTTTTGTGTATGGTTTAATATAAGAGCCTAAACTCACTTTGAATTCACCAAATCTACTTTGAAATTTAGGTGCTTATGTTAAACCATACACAAAAGTAACTCAAACATACTACAGACCTAAGTCAAAAAGCTAAAACTATAAAACTCTTAGAAGGAAATATAGAATCAGGGAGAGCTTTCTTAGAAATGACACCAAAAACATAAATGAGAAAAAAATTGCTAAGTTGGGTTTCATCAAAATTAAAAACTTTTAGGCAGGCCTGGTGGCACATACCTATAATTCCAGCTACTTGGGAGACTGAGGCAAGATGATCATACCTTTAAGACCTGCCTGGGCAACCTAGCAAGATCCTATCTAGAAAGAAAATTTGAAAAGGGTTGGGGATGGGATGGAGTTGTGGCTAGGCATAGTTGCCTAGCATGTGTGAGACACTAGGTTCGATTCTTAGTGCCACATATAAATAAATAAAATAAAAAGTCCACCAACAACATTTAAAAAAATTAAGGCTAGGGATGAGCTCTTCAGAAGAGCATTCATGGGTTCAATTCCTGGTAACACAAAACAAAATTTCTGCTAATTAACTGGGCACAGTGGTGCACACCTGTAATCCCAGCAACTGGGGAGGCTAAGGCAGAGTATCACAAGTTCAAAGCCAGCTTCAGCAAAAGGCGAGGCGCAAAACAACTCAGTGAGACTCTGTCTCTTAATAAAAAACAAAATAGGGGGCTGGGGTTGTGGCTCAGTGGTAAAGTATTCACCTAGCATGCATGAAGCACTGGGTTTGATCCTCAGCACCACATAAATGTAAAGTAAAGATATTGTGTCCACCTAAAACTAAAAAATAAATATTAAAAAAAAAAATACAACATAAGGCTGGGGATGTGGCTTAGTGGTCAAGTGCCCCTGAGTTGAATCCCTGGTAATGAAAAAAAAAAAAAAAAAAAAGAATGGTTCCAAACCAACAGAAAGACAAATAGCCCACTTTTTTAAATGGGCAAAAAAAAATACAAATAGATAGTTCACCAAGGAAATTACACATCTGGTCATGTTCATACTACTAGTCATTAGGGAAATACATATTAAAATGATAATGATACCTCTTCACACCCACTAGGAAAAGCTATGATCAAAAAGAAAAGGAATCACAAATGTTGATACAGATGAGAAAAAACTAGAATCCTCCTACTTTTGGTGAGATTATATAATGGTACAACCTTTTCCATCATTTTATAAAAAGTTAAATATAGTCAGGCACCTTGACGCAGGCCTGTAATCCCAGCTACTCAGCAAGCTAAGGCAAGGAGGATCACAAGTTCAAGGTCAGTCTGAAAATTTTACAGAGACCCTGTCTTAAAATAAAAATAAAGTGGATGTAGCTCAATGGTCAGCCCCAGATTCAATCCCAGTGGGGAGGGGATCAAACATAAATTTACCACATGATCCAGAAATTCCACTCCTATTTCTCTATTCAAGAGAAATAAAAATATGTCTATATAAAGACTTATACATAATGTTCGTAGCAGTGCTATTCAAGAGAGTCAAAAACTTCTTCAGCCATAAAGTGGAATAAAATACTGATATAATCCTACAACACAGATGAAACACAAAAATATACTAAATAAAAGAAGCCACAAATAAAAGCCCACATTACACAATTCCATTTATAGAAGTGTCCAGAAAAGGCATATAGAGACAGACAGAAAGTAGGTTATTGGTTATCTGGGACTAGGGCAGGAATAGTGTTACAAATGGGCACACTGGACCTTTTGGCAATGATAGAAATGTTCTAAAATTGGAAAGGAATATATTTGAATTGTACACTTAAAATGAATGAACTATATGGAATGCAAACTAAACTTTAATGAAGTTGTCCTTTTAAAGTAATAATCTAAATATTAAACACACAACACAATTAACATTTAATATGCTTAAATTCTCTATCATCCCATCCCTTATATTTCACCAAATGTCTAAAAATCAATATTAATGTTGAACTTGCCATTACTAAATGGTTTTCTAAAAAATAAAAATCAAACAATCCTACATGATTTTTACTAACCAGAATTTTGTTTAGAGCCTGATGATCCTCCATGTTCTACCTTTGCTTTCTTTTTCTTCGATGATGATGATGATGATGACTCAGAAGACACTGAACGCTTTTCTACTACAGGAGTGGAAAGAGCTCGTTTTTTGAACAGCTCCCTTTCTCTCAATAGGCTTGGATCCATAATGCTAAAAAGATAAAAATAAATTATCTGTAGTACAGATTCAAATCACTCAAATCTGTATGCCAAATCCAAAAATGTCAACAAGATATTTCCCAAATAAAATGATCTGCTATATTAGTACTTAGTCACTTATTTATTCACCCAAAAAAGTGCTTAATATGTACTGGGCAAGTAGTAAGTGGTAGAGAAAGAAAAACCAGAATTATTCTCTAAAGCTCTCTAGAACTGTGCTGTCCAATATGGTATTCTTCTGTTTGTTTGTTTGTTTTGGGTACTGATGATTGAACCCAGGAGTGCTTAACCACTGACTAACATCCCCAACCCTTTTTTATATTTTATTTAGAGACAGGGTCTCACTGAGTTGCTAAGTGCCTCGCTAAGTTGCTGAGGCTGGCTTTGAACTCCCAATTCTCCTGCCTCAGCCTTCCAAGCTGCTATAAGTGCACCACGGAGTCTGGCCAATATGGTGCCCTTTAAGCATATGAAGTGTGGCTAGAATTCAGATGTACTGAAAATGGAGAATACACACCAGATTTCAAACACTTAATACCAAAAAAATGCTGTTATTACTAATGAAGATATTTTACATTAATTGCATGTTGTATTTATAATATTTTGGACATGCTGGGTTAAATATTAAAATTAATTTCACGGGGCTGGGGTTGGAGCTCAATGGTAGAGCGCTTGCCTGGCACATGTGAGGCTCTGGGTTTGATCCTCAGCACCACATAAAAATAAATAAAGGTATTACATTGATCTACAACTAAAAAACTATTTTTTAAAAAAATTAATTGCATCAATTTTTACATTTTAAAAAATATAACTACTAGAAAAGTTTAAATTACAAGTGTGGGTCACACTTGTAAGCTTATATTTCTATTAGACAACATTGCTCTAAAAACAACATCAGGACCACTGGACATAAAGTAGGAGATAAATTTAGGTTTGTTGCAAAAAAAAAAAATCAGAACTGCTTATAAATGAAATGGAATACTTTTAAAACTGTTAATTCTTGATCATTAACTAAAAATAGTATTTGCTAGAAATGTCTAGAGAAATTTTCTGATTAGGAGAGGTGGAACTAAATGATTTCTTCTTCCCCTGCCCCAATGCTAAAACTCTGCTATACAACAAGCAGAGCTACAAGTCGACCAACAAGACTCTAAAAAATAATCCTGTGCAGGGTCTAGGAAGAGCTCAATCTAACTAAGTGTTTAGACTAAGTGTTTAAGTGTTTAGACTGATGTTAAGTTGGAGGGGAAAAAAAAAAAACTCTCATACAAGTAAGTGCTTCTTGATTTGGGGTTACCATGGTAATGGTAATAAGACCATGGTAAACTGAAAACATAAGCTAAAAGTGCATTTTGTACACCTAACCTACAGAATACCCAGCTTAGCAACACAGTCCACCATAGAGTATCAGTTGTTTGCCCCCGTAATTCATGGCTGGCTGGGAGATGCAAGTTAAATGCTACTGCCCAGCATCATGACAGAACATAGTACTACATGTTGCTGACCCAGGAAAAGATTAAAATTCAAAGTGTGTTTTCTCCTGAATGTGTATCACTTTTATACTATCATAAAGTCAAAAAATCATAGGTGGTTCTCCCTGTACTTTGCAAGTCTTTAAGCACAGGATACCTCAAAAAATACTTGTTAAATGAACACTGAATAGAAAAGACATCCTTCACTTGTGCTATCCTCATAATTATTGGTTCCACAAGCCTTTAACAAAGGCTTTACTAAGAAAACTGCCGTTTGTGTGGCACTGTGCTTTAAACTTTGAAAAGTTCTGGAAAATAAATCCTTGTCTTTAGGCAGCTTAGATGAGAACGTGAAAGCACTGAACACCTTGTTCAAAGGACAATGAATAAATAAAATGTAAGTCAGGGTGCTAAAAATTAAAATATAAATACTGATAAAGAATAATCAGGGGCTAGAGATGTGACTCAAGCGGTAACGCACTCGCCTGGCATGCATGGAGCGCTGGGTTCGATCCTCAGCAACACATAAAATAAAATTAAAAAAAAAAAGATGTTGTGTCCATTGAAAACTGAAAAATAAATTTTAAAAAAATAATAATAATCACTGTGAGGGTTGGGGCTGTGGCTCAGTGGTAGAGCGTGCGTATACGCACATGGAGGCCCTGGATTTGATCCTCAGCACCACATAAAAATAAATAAAATAAAGGTATTGTGTTCAACTACAACAATAAATATTAAAAAAAAATAATAATAATCACTGTGAATTTCAGTTAAGTGAGAAGTGAAGAGTCATTGAACCATGAATAAGAGTTCTGCCTTCTTTCAGCTTCAATTCCTAACAGCCATATGGCTAAACAATCCACAAGACCTCTAATTTAATTTCATCATAAGTAAAACAAGGACACTAATATATATATATATATATATATATATATATATATATATATATATATATATATATATTACACATTTATATATATGTAAAAATAAAGTGAGAAAATATGTGTGAATTTTTTTCAATAATAAAGCCATAGAAATCTTATTCCCATTTTGAATCTCTAAGAAATAAAAAAATGATTGGTACCAGAGTAAGGAAGATGGGAAAGCCTTGGAACTTGGAAAAGTGTGAGGTCAAGAACTAAAGAAAAGAAATTTGCAAGTGAGAAGATGGAAGAAAAAAGCAGATTGTAAACACACAGGAAACATTTGTTTATTTCACCTTATGAAGGTAGATCATTAATACAGGATTTTACCAACAACTTTTAAGACAGATTAAGTAAAGCTATACGGTTCATAAAAACCTAAATGTTTACAATATTAGTCCCTCACAACTGTATGAGAGAATAGTTATTAGTGTTACTACTATTTCAATGTGTGAAATCTGAAAGGAAAAGGCACAGTTAAGGTCACACAGCTGGAAGGACAAGGGTATTCTTTCTGACTTTTAAAGTCAAGTACTCCTTAACACCAGATCTAGAATGAATCCTAGTAAAGGTCTCTAAAACAAAGCAACCTATGGGGTACCATGTTCAAGGGCACCTACAACAATGTGTCTTTCACTGTAGCATGCTCCACCTAATTCTTCTTTTTTCAAAATTTGTATTGAGTTTTAAATCTCAGTACTGGCACATGTCGCAAACAGGACACATCTCCATGTCCATTTTAAAAAAAAACAAGCAAACAAATAAAAAACCACCACAACTCAAAGAAGCTGGCGGGGCTCCACGGCCCACGTTCTTCCCTCCAACAGACCTCTCAGCCTTTTTACTTTTCCTGTTTTTCTCCTCTCTCGGCCTCAGCCTCAGCCTCAGAGGTGCCACTGGCGCCTAAGCAACTACTATGAATAGCTGGGAGCTAAGAGGGTGCTTACCTCCTAAGTGACAGCAATGTGGAAGTGGATGAAAAAGGGACCGCAACGTTCTGCTTTGGAAAACGTCTTCAGAATTTGTAGAAAACTACTATAATTAAAGTTGGGAATCATTACAAACCATTTAAAAAAAAAAAAAAAAGGCAGCTGAAAAAAACAATCCGTGTGCCAGTCCCTAAATCACAGCCCTTAGTGGGGCACCATGTTACACACACGTTTCGCTCGGCTACTTCTAATGGAAACTTGGGGGTATAGGAGGAGGCACAATCAGCTCACCGACTGTGAATTTTCCCTTTATCCAACCCAAAAGTTTGCTAAATGAACCTCCGGCCTAAAAGACAATGCTCGCAGGGAACTGTTGGCATATTTGAAATGTTTCGCGTAGAGAACGGCAGCCCAGGCTCCCGAAGGTTTGAGGACAAGCTCATCAGCTTGGGTAGAGGAGGCGCGCCTCAAGACCGAAGAACAGCGATCCCCGGCTCGGCACCCCTCACTTGGCGGCCACAGCCCCTACCTGAGCGAGGAAGATAGCCCCACGCGACCCGCCGCTACAGCCTCCCTGCGCCTCCGCCTCCGCCAGCCGCCCACGCCGGCACGGCCGCCCCTTCCTGCTCCTCTTCAGCGCCCCCGCCTGCCCGCACGCACGCCCGGCGCTGACCCACCAGGTCGGGGTCTCGCCTCTGGCGGCGGCGGCGGCGGCGGCGGCGGCGACTCGGCCCTGGGCTCCGCCCGCCACTTCCTGATCGGGCGGCTAGGCGCTCAGTCCCGGCAGCCACCGCGGTGCCTTCGCCGCCTATCATGCGCATGCGTCGTAGCGTGCCCCACCTGGGGGCCCCAAGGAAGGAGAACAGGCCCACTCGGGCGTCCTTGTTTCCTTGACAACCAGGCGGCGTTTGGAGGCGGGGCCTAGGATTGGACCTACGTAAGAGGCGGGCAGCCTGTGCTACAAAGGATGGAAGACACCTTTCTACACGGAAACTCAAAGCTTAGGAGCTCTTCCACCAGCGGGCTCTGGAAACCAACCCAACTGAAGATACGACCTTTCAACATTAGTTTTGTAACTTTACCTTAAATGCCCCTCTCCAGCACCTGAATATTCAGAGAACATTTTTCTATCTCTCTTACAAGTGAAGAAACAGCACAGCAAGCAAAGCAAACCGTGACATGGAGACCAGCTTATGAACTCTCAGCCAGAACTCTCTTTCCACACCTATAAACGGTCTTACAAAAGGATGTTGGACTCAGAAGCAACATAAAGGGTTGGAAGTAAAACAACGAAAAACAGCATTGGTCTTGCCCACATACTACAGCTGTGCTTTCCTCAGTCTTTGAACCCAAAACGGCAGTGCAGCCAGCGCTCAACTATTCTTACTACTAATAATTCCTTAAATTTCTTAACCTGTGTCTTGCTTTTTTTTTTTCATTCGAAAAAGGGAATAATAATTGTTCTATCACAATAGGTTAGTTGCATTGGACTGTGGTTAAGATTAAATGAGTTAAGGGGAAAAAAAAAAGATTTAATGAGTTAGGGGCTGGGGATGTACCTCAGTAGTAGAGCACTTACCTAGTATGTTTGAGGCCCTGGGTTTGATCTCCAGCACCGCAAAAATAATCAATTAAATGAGATAATACTTGAAATTTAATCCAAAACTTGGAAACAAATCCACAAAATTATTATGTGATCTTTTAAAAAAATATATTTTTTAGTTGTAGTTGGACACAATGCCTTTATTTTACTTATTTATTGTTATGTGGTGCTGAGGATCAAACCTAGGGCCTTGCACATGCTAGGTGATCGTTCTACCGCTGGGCCACAACCCCAGCCCTATTGTGTGATCATTTAATTTGTTTCATTGCAGAGAAATTTTTAATAAACCCAGGTAATGGTCATCTGACACCCTCAGGAATCGTAACTTCGTTTGATTGATTAGAGCCCCCAAAGTTGTACAACTTGGCAAAGTCAGGGATTAACTGGTAGAAAAGTGATGAGATGTAATGGGGAAAAGGGCCTGGGATTTAGTACAAAAAAATAATGACAGCTGGGCGCAGTGGTGCCCACCTGTAATCTCAGTGGCTCAGGAGGCTGAAACAGGAGGATCGTGAGTTCCAAGCCAGCCTCAGCAAAAGTGAAGTGCTTAAGCAACTCAGTGACACCCTGTTTCTAAATAAAATACAAAATAGGGCTGGGGATGTGGCTCAGTGATCAAGTTCAATCCCTGGTACCCCTGCCCCCCCCCCAAAAATAAAAGGATTGTATTGTCCTGAGAAACAGTATCATTTTAGCAGTTTTATTTCAGCTTTCCTTTCTTCAGCGATTATTTGAATCTCAATTTCTCATATCCTTGTGGAATTAGTTCTGTATTTTGCTAGCTCTCTTATTAATGTGAAATTTAAGAACAAATGGACAAAAGGTAGACCACATATGAAAAGACTCTTATTCACATAAACCAAACTGTGACTTCTACAGAAATCAGCTAAAAATGGTCAGAATTTCTTCAAGAATGTTGCCAAATGTCCTATTCTAGTCAGCCACGATCAACTAGAGAAAGTCAAATATATTTGCTAGACCAACCACATAGGATTCTCACTTCTAATTAGCCTACCTCCAGCTTTCCTACAACCTTTAATCAGAACATACCAGAAGTGTCCTTTTTTCACCAATGTAAAGTTTCCCTTCTCCCTGATTTTTTTTTTTTTGGAGGTGGGAGATATTGGAGGTTGAACCCAGAGGGTTTTTGTTTTTTCACTTTTTACCACTGAGCCACATCCCTAGCCATTTTTCTTTTTTATTTTAAGACAGGGCCTCACTAAATTGCTGAGGCTGGCCTTGAACTTGTGATCCTCTTGCCTCAGCCTCCAGAGCTGCTGGGATTACAGGCCTGCACCACCACACCCAGCGCTCTCCCTGATTGCTTTTGAGTCTGCCAAACTCAATAGATGAGCTGCCTCACTTGCAAGCTCTTAATAGTCTTTGCTCTCATTTGGGTGACCTTCATGTATTTCCACTTGAGCTAAATAAAACGTTGACACATATTTGTTATCTGTTCACTGGAGAAGTATGAATTTATTAGAGAACCATGCTTTTACAGAACTAAATCCACCACATAGAAAGCATTTAGCTCATTGGTCAGAATTCTATTGATAATCCAACTCCCAAAATCTCAATTGTCTCTCCTTTATCCAGACATAAGCTATTATCATTGAAACCCTCCCCATACACATTCCAACCCTGTTAAAATATATAAATTATATATGTTGTCAACCAGTGATATCCCCCCGCCCCCGCTTGAACTGCTTGTCTGTTGCTAGAACCTAACATTGAAGTAGTTACTTCATTCATTCAAAACACTTTGGGTGCTATCCTGTACCATGATGCTACTCCTCAAGTAAAGACAAAAAGGGGCTTACTATAACACCTATAATTAGACTCTTCTTGTGTCCAAGGTATTTACTCATGGACATCACACTACAAACTTAAAACAAATGGGGGGGTGGGGGTTCCCTTTGTATGCTGGTAATGTTGACTATAATGATGTACTCAATTATTTCCAAATAACAGTCCCAACTGCCTTGATTTCAGAAAGTCCAATATTTGGAATAAAACACAGAGTTTTTAATCCTGCCTTCTCATCTTTATTACATACTCTAGAAACCATTCATATTGCTTCTGATGTGGCTTCTTGCCAAGGCTTAAAAAGGACATAGGAAAATATTCCACTCAAAAGTGAGGGACATGATTATTAATAGATTCTGTCATATACACAGAGTCTCCACCACAAATGCTTAAATAAACCTTTATAATAATTAAAACCACCTCCACATTGGCACAGGATTTCCAGGTCAAAAGGTGTGACTAGTGTCAGATTATATGAAGAACTAACCAAACAACGAATGTTATGACACTTTATTTCTCACCTCTTGAATGCTTATAATATTCTGCTTACTCTTTGATAGAAAGTGTGATGGTTTCTTAAGGGAAATATAACTTGTATATTTTATAAAAAAAATTTTTTTGATCTATCTAAATTCTCTAGCCCCCAAAATTAATTTATTAATCAAAAGATTCATTCTAATTTACTACATTGCAATTTTTTACTATTTACTTAATTGTGGTAAAGTATAAAAACATACACTTCCCCATTTCAGCCATTTAAAGTATACAATGGAGTAGCAATAATTAAATGAACAATATTGTACAATGATCATCACAATCTATTTCCAATTTTTTTACCACTTTAATCAGAAACTCTATTACCAATTAAGCAATTGCTCTCCATTCCCTATACCCCAGCCCCCAGTAACCTCTACTAGGCAAATTCTTTCTTTAAGAATTTGCCTATTCTGATTATTTTATACAAGTGGAATAAATAATACAGTATAAGTCCCTTTGTGTCTAGCTTATTTCACTTAGCATAATGTTTCCAAGGTTCATCCATGTCATAGCATGTATCAGAATTTCATTCTTTTTTATGTAATGCTTTAATTTTACATTTCAATTTATTACCTTATATTCCATCATTCAGAAGGGAAATTTGGGGACAACACAAATTCACTTCATTCTGCCATCAAGTAATAGCTATACTTCAACTCCCCACACCTGTTAACTATCTCAAGTAGCAAGATACCTAAGTTCTCAAAATAGCCAACAAAGTGAATTAGTACAATGTAACTTGCCCCAATTCCCAGCATACCAGAGAGAAAGCCAGTATCCAAGCCAAGAACTAAAGTTATTTTACTCTTCACCTATCCTGATTTCTTTCTGATTAAAGGCATTAACAGTCTCCTCTCCTTTGAGTCCTTTTTCTCTGCCCTCTAATTCCACCTGAAGATATCTTCCCAGGATCCTAGTCTTTCTCAGGTATTCATCCTCTATCAAACTTTATCCAAAAATGTCAGTTTTTGCTATTGCCTCCACTTAGTAACTTTTAATTTTCAGGGTTTAAAAACTGGCCTGATGACCAAAGACAACTAATGTAAACCTGTGCTCTACCACTTTCTAGTAATATGAACTTGAGCCAGTATTTAATCTTTCTAAACCTAAGTTTCCTCATCTGTAATGAAAATGACTAAATTGAGTAATATGTAGTATGCAGTCAGTACATTATCATTGTTGTTATTAGGACCCAACTCCCCAGTTAAGTTATTTTTCAAACATCATCAGTGATTTCCCAATTGCCAAATGGGCTTCTGTGGTAGGTTATATAATTGTTCATAATTATCCACTTCCTTTGAGGGAGGATTAATACTTCCCACCCTGATGAACACAAGGAGTGGCATGTGACCTGCTTTAGCTAATTAAATAAAGAACAGAGTAACATGTGTTCACTTCCAAGGAGAAGCTTTAGGAGGTTTATTATAATTCACTATCTTGCTTGTCCCTCAGCCAATAAGACCCTGCAATATTCCAGTTTGGGGCACTTCATCAGTCTGATCCTAGAGTAAAGATGACCTGTGTCACATCTGCTGCCCAATTATCCTAGGGCAGTGGGATAGGTTGCCAAGACACCAAGTAAAATGACAGAAACAAGATAAGATACAGGGTTTATTGAAAAATACTTACAGGGGAGGTCCAATGGCAACATGCTGGAGAGGTGCTTCACCAGAAAGTCTAGTGGCAGTGAGCTGGACAGGTGTCCCACTGCACACCAGAGACCTCACAGAAAGTGGCACCTCCTATTCTCCCCACACTTTGTCCAGGAGCAGCCACCTGGAAGAGCACTTCCATCTCCAGGATGTTCTGATGGGCACCAGTTACCACAGGGAA